CGTGGTTGCTGATACACTTTCTAGAATCGAATCTATCAGCACCATCGATATGGATAAAGTAGCAGAAGCCCAAGCCAGTGATCCTGAATTTCTGTCAGTGAAGAATGGTGAAACATCCCTAGTATTTAAACCTTATCAACTGCCAAGTGGAAACAGTTTGTGGTGTGACATCTCTACTGAATCTGTAAGACCTTTCATACCTCAAACATTTTTTGAACAAGTTCACAATTTAAATCACCCAGGTGTAAAAGCCACTGTCAAACAAGTTGGTGCTCGTTTTGTTTGGCCAGGGCTTAACAAAGATGTGCATGATTGGGCAAAATCGTGTATAGCTTGCCAAAAGTCTAAAGTCATAAGACACACAAAATCACCATTTGGAATATTTCAACCGCCAGATGAGAGATTTTCTAATGTACACATCGATCTGATTGGCCCGTTACCTCCTTCAAATGGTAACATCTATCTACTGACTGCGATAGATCATTTTACAAATTGGATGGAAGCTATACCACTGGCAGAAATCACTGCAGAAGTTGTCGCCAGATCATTTTATGACAATTGGATTGCACGCTTTGGCGTCCCATCCTCGCTCACATCTGACCAACGTCGACAATTTGAGGCGATCCTATTCAGAAATCTAAGTTATTTGTGTGGAATCAAATTGCAGAGGACAACTCCTTACCACCCTCAATGTAATGGGAAAGTGGAACGACTACATCGCACCCTGAAAACTGCTCTGAGAGCAAATGGTTCTCTAAAATGGTCAGAAGCCCTACCAACAATTCTTCTGGGTTTACGAGCCTCATTCAACCCCGATACCGGTGTCTCCATTGAACAATTGGTATACAGCACCACTATCAAGTTGCCTGGCAAATTTCTCGGACAGCCAGCTCAACGTATAAACGATGCAGAAACTTTTGTATCGCAACTTCAAGACACTATGAGACAGCTGAAGCCTGTTCCAGTGAAGCTGAAGACCAACAAGTCATTCTTCGTTCACAAGAATTTGGCTGAATGCACTCATGTGTTTGTAAGAATTGACCGAATGAAGAAACCCTTGGAAGCAGCTTATGAAGGACCCTTCAAAGTGATTGCCAGATCTGACAAATTTTTTACACTGCAATTGAAGAACAGAGAAACAAACATATCAGTAGACCGCCTAAAGCCGGCTTATCTCTTGGCATCACCAGAAGAACCTGACCTTCGTTCAAAAGAACCTGACCTACGTTCTGCACAAACTTCTCCTGAAGAGACTAACGAACCCTGTCCAGGTCCTAGTACCAGTAAACCACTGATACAAACCACACATAGTGGTCGTGCAGTGAAGTTTCCATCTCGGTACTTGGATGCAATTATTTTCTAAAGTTAACATTGTATTTCAGTCTTTGAGAAACATTATCGCGACTGTGTCTCTGGGAGGCAGTGAAGTAGGAGCAGGTCAAACCATATGATTTAATTTAATTTGATAAACAATCGATATCATATGTAAATAATATAATGTGTTCAGATGTTTTTATGGTTTAAAATGTAATGTTTTGTGGTTATAATAAATTGTGTTGATTAGCAAATCTGTAGCTTTCTTTAAGATATTTATTAAAGATAATCAATCTTAACTTAAGTAATATTAATAAAACGACCAGTAATAAATCTATCCAATCCTTGTAGTGAAGTTGTAGACCATCTTAAAATTCCAAAACTGTAAGAAATGGCTGGTATAACCCACGTATTCACAGCTTTTATTTTTGAACCTGAGGATAGGCATGTAAGAATAATTTTCAGTCTCTTTTTCAACGACTCTATCAGTCTGTTTTTTGTGTCTTTACTCGCTATTTTAAACGCTGCTCTATCCCAAGATATTTATATAGCTCTTCCTTTTTTACGTGTTTAATATGCAATGCTTCATTAAATATGTTCTGGGATTTACTTGGTTTTCCTTTAATCACAAGAAGAACAGCACATTTCTCAATTCCGAGTGATATGTGTATTGAGTCACTAAATTGAGTTACAGTATTTAGCATTGATTGCAACTGAGATTTGTTCTTTGCATAAAGTTTTAAATCGTCCTTATAAAAACTATGGCTGATCACTGCTCTCAATTCATTTAGTTTTATTTTGTATCCGTTCCTCTCTCGATTTAATAAAATTGATAGTGGAGCCATTGCAAGAGAAAACCAAAGGGGCTTGAGGAAGTCTCCCTGATATATACCTCTCGAAATTTGAATGTACTCCCGAGGGTCTGTTGATTGCTCATGTCCTATCCTCAATCTAGTTTTGCAGCAGTTCATCAATTTCTTCAGGAGTTCATTTAAACATGGATGAACGTTATACAATTCTAAGACTTTTAAAAGCCAACTGTGAGGGACCGAGTCAAATGCCTTTCTGTAATCAATCCATGCTATTGACAAATTTCTTTTATTCGTGGTCGTTTGGCCTGTAACAAACGAGTCTATGAACAACAGCTCCTTACAGCCTTGGGCTCCTTTCCTACAACCAATTTGTTCTGTTGGGATCAAATTATTGGATCGTAGGTGACATTCAATCTTACTTGATAGAATTGATGTTAAACTTATAAACTCCGTTGAGACAAGTAATTGGCCTGAAGTCTTGTGGTTACAATAGGTCTCCCTGTTTTTTAGAAATTAGAACGGTAGCACTCTGAGAGAACGTGTTAGGAATGTCTATTTGTCCTCTAATTTTTTTTTTTATAGTTCATCGCAAGTATTTAGGTTAGGTTTTTGCAACCAATAATTTTGAATTTTATCACTGCCCGGTGCTTTCCAATTTTTCATTTTCTTTGTTGCGATGACTACTTCTTCTATTGAAATATCAAAATCAGGCATTTGAGGTGCCTCCTGGAATTCTCTGTTCACTGATTTTAGCCAGTCTATTTCGTGATTGTGATCTACATTGTCCTCCCAAAGCTTCTTCCAATAGTCGATTATATTATCGGTTAATGAGCAATTTACACCTACCTTTTTATGTTCATCCAAGTTCCGATAGAACTGCTTCTCACTGTTTGTGAATCTTTTGTTCTGCTGTTTACGGAGCATCAACGTTTTATTTTGTTTGCGTAAACTGCAAGTTTTTGCTTTAGTAGATTAGCATGTAAAGCAAGTTTTTCGGTGAGCTCAGATTCTAACACCATTCCTATTTGTAGTACAACTATTTCATCAATCCTTTTTAGTTTTTTACTTGCTCCAGCCAGATTTCTAATATAGCTTGTAATTATCCCAATACTTGACCTTAACAAAGCTATTTTATTCTCTAATCTTCTCTGCCAACATGGGAGTTTCATATTGCCATTATCTTTCTTTGATTTATCTTCTCCTAAACCTAGTTCGATAATAACAACTCTAGCTGCAACATAAGCCCAATGACAAAAGGCTTCAATGTCCATTTCAGAGTAGTCAATAATAAGTTTACTTAAAACTTCATTAACGTTTTTCACAGTCATCCGGGATCTAAAGTTGTAAGGAATCCTTGATAGGGTGGGTCTAACATCATGTGATATTCCTTCATAAAGCATATGCTGGGATAACAGTGACAGTATCAGTTTTTGTACGTCTTTTTCTTCTTCTGAAGAATCGCCAACGATCTTTCTATGAGTTTTATAGTATCAGTTGTTCGCTCTTCATTCTCAGCAGCTATTATCGCTAGTCGTTCTCATGCGATTGCTTTTATATTATCCATTTCCACTGCGGTGAGGAATTTTCTCGATCGGATTACTCTAACCTGATCACTGAGTCTTTGTGTACTTATAGTCATCTGTGGGTATAATTCTAGCCAATACTGTTGAATCCTGCTGAGGTATCCTGTCTTGTCTGTTTCTAATTGTGTTGCCAAAAGATATGCCAGGATAACTGCCTTGTTCATTTCTGGCATCCATTTCATCCTTCGAGCACCTCTTGGTCTCTGTTGCCGAATTCGTGCATGAGGAAAAATAGTCTCGCCCAAGCCCGAACTCGAACTAGTTGCCGGTTCTTGCAGTCTTGTGGTCCTTTGCGACAGGGTGGCGCCACTTGCTCCTCCATTACCTGAAGGAAGCTGTTGAAGATTCCCGCCTGGTGCAGCTTCATTCCCAGGCTCCTCTGGGGCTATACGTCGATTTCTCAACTCCATTTTTGATAGGTGAATGCATTTTAAATCTTCTGCCAGGCCTTACTCAGGAACCCGGGGGAGCGTAATACCACAACAACTGCGTTCATCAGTTGTCCTTATGATATTTCTATTATTATTATATTATTATATATTACTTATTATTATTATTATTACTAGGTTAATAAACATGTATAGATAATAAATAAATATAATGAACACTATTATAAATGTTCTTAGTTGTGACAGATTGTAATATTTCTTAATAAATAATCTTAATAAAAAAAATAATAATAATAAAATAAATTCATGTTAAGCGCAATTAAATCATGCCATGGTTCACTATTAAGAAATACAGTTTAGTGTTATCATTTATATGCTTTCATGGGTATAAACTTATATAAAGTAGAACTCTCTTTATCTGACCAGGGCTATTCAGGATAAAGCAAAATTTTGGATAAAACCTGTTATAATTCTGTTATTTTTCTTGTGGCAGTGCTAGCCACTGTTTTTAGTAATACATCTACATGAGGAACGGGTTGGCCGAGCGGGCTAACACGTGTGCATAGCACCGCCCGGCAACCAGTTATATGAGATAATTTGATTAAAATAATACAGAGTTCTCGTCCCGGTGCCAAGGGGTCTTTTAACTCTGGTATTAATCCCCTGCCCTTGCCCCCTGGCCCGGGAAAATCCCCATATAGCCTAAAATACGAGAAAGGGGGGAGACCTACTGGACAAAACAAATTGTCATAAAAACAAAAAAAAAATATAATAAAAAATAATAATGGGATGTGATGGATTGGGACAAGCGGGGCTCTACTGTATGTAAATATAAATGTATAACTATTATACAACGTTAAAGTATTTGCATTAATTTATTTTATTTTTTTTTTTATGTTTAGTGGCATAGGATGTTTATGCTAGTTACATGGTGTTTAACATTAGCTGGATTTGTGATTATTTTTGTTGAACTTGGAGGTTGGGTAGGTCCAAATAGCCAATCTCATGCTTTAATGGGATGTATTACAACAGTTTTGTGTTTTATCCAACCAATTGGAGCAGCTTTTAGACCACATCCAACTGCAAGGAAAAGGCCTGTATTTAACTGGTTACATTGGTTTATTGGTAACACAGCACACATTTGTTCTAGTAAGTATCTATCTTAATTATTTTGAACCACCTAACCACCTAAACACTCCTAACCACTCCATATTCCTTGAAGATGTCGGTGATGTACCTGTGTGCATTGAGTGTCAGCCTTCGGATCACATGGAGGTCTGTACTTAACTCTACACATATTCCACCCCAAACCATCACCGACCCTCCTCGGAAGTGCACTCTTCCCGCTATATTGCACTGAGCTAATTGCTTACTTAGTCTGTTCCACAATGGAATTCGTCCGTCTGCACCATAAAGGCTATACCTGGACTCATCAGAAAACAGAACAAAGGCCAAATCATCTTCTGTTCAAATGGGGTGTTCATGACAGAAGTGAAGGCGACCTTCTCGGTGTGCTACGGTGAGTAGAGAGCTGCAATCGGGAACCTTAGCATGCAAGTTGAGTTTAGCAAGCCTTCTCCTTTCTGTGTGCGTCCTGACAACCGCAACCCGAGCAATACGAAATCAATGAGAAGTCTCAATTGAAGCCTAGAAGCGGTTTCTGAGGACCTGCAAAGCAAATAAGCAACCTTACATCAATTTTAGTGCTGCCATGGAATACATGTTTCATTTCGTTGACTTGAGGTCCCTATGATCAAGAGAGGAGGAGTTTATATTGTTTATCAAAGGCGTTTTTTTGTTGGTAAGCCATATCATCGTTAATTCTTCATCAAATCCCAACATTGAGCCAACAATTTTGAAGGTTTCTTTCTTTAGGTGTGAAAAATTATCCAATCGCCCTGAAAATTCACACAAAAAAGTTATGAAAGAAAAGAAACTTTATTTGTGAATAACTCAAAAGTTATACTCTTTTCCCTTGGTTATGCCATTATGATTATATAAGAGGTTACTAAATTCCCTACAAAAGGAAAAAAAAAAATTGAAATCGGACAATTATAATTGTTAATAATTATTAGCAAAAATACAGCTTATTGAAATTTGTAAACATGTTGGTTCCAAACATTAATGAAGCTTTAAATTAATTTTTGTTTCCTTTGTCGAATATATTTAGGGAGAAATTAACAATTGATTTCTTTATCTTATGATACTTTGCATAATTTTCTTTTCTTATTAATTTGTCATTTGATCACTGAACAATATACTGTGCGATTTGTTTGCACGTGCCAGCTATTAATAAATAAATGAGAGCAAAATTTACAACCAAAAATCAAAATTACTACCACTGTCAGGGCTGAAAAAAGAAATGCTAAAGTCTGTAAGAGAAAACTTGATAAATAGAGTGAAACTAACTGAGATTGATGAGAAAAGGAGAATTGCAGGAATTGGAAGTTAAAATGCCTTTGGCAGCATTCTAACCAAACAAGAGAACCTTAATCTATTAAGTCTGAGAAAAATTCTATGATGATGCAGAAGCAGGCAGTACTCAGAGAAAATGAGTCATAGTTAAAAAAATAATTCCTACTGTACAGTAATACTAGTCCAGTCAATGAATGATTATAGAAGAAAATGGCAGTGTCACAATTTTGGCAGTGAGAGCAATATAATAACAACGAATATTATAAACATTATTTTTTTCTGCAAATTATCGGAAATGACATATAAAGAGTCACATTAAGGAGTAAATACTAGAGGCTATCTACAACAGGATGGACATCTCGAGAACTAAGTGAAAAAAGGTATATAATCAATCATTTTGCATATTTTATCAGCTTTAATTTGGTATAGAACATCTTTGTCGATGCAATGGATAGTTTTCCTGATATAAGCAAAAACTCGAAAAAGTGACCTTCTAGGATTCTACAACCCCCACATCTGGCTCACCATCTAGGAGTGAGGGCTTTTAGTATGTTTACCTCCTTACTTGTCCAAACAATGTCTCAAAGTCAAAAATTGTGACACTGTCATTTCCTTCTATAATCATTCATTGACTGGACTAGTATTACTATACAGTAGGAATTATGTTTTTAACTATGACTCATTTTCTCTGAGTACTGCTTGCTTCTGCATCATCATAGAATTTTTCTCAGACTTAATAGATTAAGGTTCTCTTGTTTGGTTAGAATGCTGCCAAAGACATTTTAACTTCCGATTCCTGCACTTCTCCTTTTCTCATCAATCTCAGTTAGTTTCACTCTATTTATCAAGTTTTCTCTTACAGAATTTAGCATTTTTTTTTCAGCCCTGACAGTGGTAGTAAATTTGATTTAGAAACGCTCTCCTTCATTATTGGCATGTAGGTTCACAAAATTTGCATATGATTTCAATACCTCTTCTTATAATAATTATTTCAAACCGTTAACCAACATCTAATAAGAATCAGAAAAGATCTGTCAAGTGCTTATTCATGATATCCATGATCATACAACATACAATACAATTATACTATATAGTGAGTGTAAAAAGTATTGGGACACCTAGTCCAATTAAAAAAAAAGTGGAATGTATTGAAAATAAATATTTTTTTTTTAATTCCAACAGCATCTTTTATGTCTGCGTACTTTTATGATAAAATGTTATGATTCCTGTTTTAACATTTTGAAAAGTATACTGACTGGAAATTTTCAATGGAATAGTAGTGTAAGCAATAACAAGCAAAAAGTACTGGGACACGTAGTTTATCTTAAAAAAAATTTATCTTTAATCATTTTGTTATTATTTACTTTACTAACCCTTCTTTTTCATTCTATATTGTTTTTCTCATGTTTTTTTTTTAAAGAATATTTCAGTCATTTACTACAAACTTAACCTTAGTAATCGAAATGAGACGAAAAGTGAAGAAACCAAGTGTGGAAGAAAGAAATATTGTCATCTGCCTCCACAATCAATGCAAATCTGTAAGAGAAATATCTGCGATAATTGGAATTCTGAGAATGACTGTTTGGGATATAATAGAGATGTATGGAATAACCAAATGTTTTAAGAATAAACAAAGAAGTGGTAGACTGAAAATATTTTATGAGCAAGATAGAATATCAATTGTTAGAAAAGTGGCTATAAACCCATGTTATTCTGCTCCAAAGTTTATAATATACATAATGAGAAACCAATATCTGTTAGAAATATTATGAGAAATGTGAATTTCCATGGTTAGGTGCCAAGGAAAACATTTTTCGTCAGTGAACAAAATAGAACCAAAAGATTAAATTTTGCAAATGACTATAAAAATAAACCACAAAGTTCTATGTATTCAGCTCGAGTGTGAAAGGAAAAAAAAAAAAAGAATTCTTAGCTAGAGAAAAAAAAAAATTGTTTCCAACTGTCAAACATGGAGGTGGGTCAAGTGATGGTCTGGGGATGTATGAGTGTTGCCGTTGTTGGGTGATTGGAATTTGTCGAAGGGAATATGGACCACAAACAGTACATACAAATTTTAAAACCACATTTAAAATCATCAGTTGAAAAACTGAGGATTTCCGAGTCATTTGCCTGACTTTTATCAAGATAATGATCCCAAACGTAATTTCTCAATACTTGGCTCTGGCTACTGCACAGCAAGAACAAGAACAATTAGTAACAAAACCGATCTCAAATGTGTGATTAAGAAAGAGGGGGAAAAAATTGAGCCATCGTTCACTTCAAGGTTAGTTGAATCAATGCCAAGGCGACTTCAGAGTGTAATATAAAATATTAATGAAAAAAATATAGGAACATGTTAATCTTTTTTCATGTGTCCCAATTCGTATTGTTAAAAATTCCTCTGTATTTTTCAAATAATTTATTTAAAAATATAGTGATTAATTGTTTTAACCATTATATTTATATTCTCTATAAATTTGTTGATTCAATTTTTGTTATTGAAAATTATATAAATGCATAAATTTATAGCAGTATCATTTTTCAATTTATAGTTGTTTTTTTTTAATATAATATCTCTCATTAAGTAAATCGATTTACTTAATAAAAACTCATTCTTTTTACCCCTATATAACTACATGTTTTCATTAATGTTATGAGTTGCGTGAAGTATTTAGGCTGTGAATTCTACTAATCTTGTTCAGCATTATTAAATTTAAGAACTATCATTTAATTAAGATACTGTAAAATTTATCAAAACATTGATAGATTTTACAGTACTCCTATTTTTCTATTTGCATCTATTATTTTCTTTACATAACTTCATATTCTTTTTCTCTGTTTTTATGTCTTAATAATTAATTCAAAATCATCATTCCTACATTAGAATGAAAATAAACTATTTTAAAAACAACTTCAATGGTACCAAAAACATTTAATACATCGAATTTTCATTCAGAAATTGTTTAAAAACTTTTTTAACCTTCCTTTGTTAGAGAAGTGCATATCGCTCAAAATATATCAAACAATGTATTTTACTCTATGTCAATCTTACTTCTTTTTAGTATTCTTACATATTTACTTGGCACTAATACTCTTGAAGTCGAATCTTGGCTGCTCCAGCGTCGACCGCCAATTGTTTCTGTCAAGTGCTGCTGCCCTCCAACTGCAGGTATCCAATATGGTCCGGACGTCTAAAGCTACTCAGTTCTTCCACCAAAGTCGTGGCCAGTCTACTCTTCTCACACCAAAGATTCACTCCCTTAGGATTTTGGCTGGTATTTTATCTTGATCCACCCTATTCACATATCTGGCCCACCTAAGTCTTGTTAGCTTTAAAAATTGTACTACATCCAATTCCTTATAAAGCAGCCTCAATTCATTGTTGGAACGGCATCTCCACTCTCAATTAAGTATAACTGCACCATATATCCTCCTCAGGACTCTTCTTTCACATCTCAGAAGAGAGAATCAGTGTACTTGGGTAAGGATCCAGTTTTCTGAAGCATATGTGAGAATCGGCCGGATGAGAGTCTTGTACAACCTGGCTTTCGAGGATTTGGAGAGAAGAGCACCACTTATATGCTTTTGCAGAGCAAAATAACAGTGATTAGATGCCATAATCCGCTTCTCGACTTCTGCTCCAATATCATTTTGTTGGTTGACCAGGGATCCTATGTATACAAATTCCTCAACTCTCTCCACATCCTTCCCATCAACTTGGATATGGTAGAGTAAATTTTATTCTGGAGCATTCAGCTCCCTAAGAATAATTATAATGAAAAATTTAGTGACATTTGCCTGGCATAGAAGTTAATCATCTTCTTGTTGTTAATTAAATTACATTACTATTGAGTCTTTAAATTAAAATTAAAAAAGGCACTAGTTAACATTTGAATTGTAGGTAGATGTATAAGAGTGTGTTTACATATAAACAATGTGTAATATATAGATATCTGTAAGATGACAGTAAAATGAGGTAAAAGGCATAAAAAAGAGGCTCTAAAAGAAATAAAAATATTACTCTTACATAAATTTCGAAGATTGATTGCCGAGAAGATGGAAAAATAAATGCTGTTTAAATGAGGTTAAGCATGGAACTAGGTAGGGAATTCCAAAACAAGGTAGAACGTATGAGAAAGGATTTTTTAAAGGAAACAGTTCTATGAAAAGGAATAAACAGGTTTGTGGGATGATATCTCGTGTTGAATGAATGGACAGAGGAGCAAGGAGTAAATAGATCAAGAAGGTAAGAAGGTTTTTATGTAGAAAAAGTTTGGAAAAGAAAAACACCCAGGAAATATTGCCATCGGGAAGCTGGATAGAGCCACTTCAGTTCGGCATACCGGCTGAAGACGTGGGAGCTCCTGGGGACTCCAGAGATGAATCTAATGAAACAATTCATTAGTCTCTTCAATCTGATCTCGAGCCCACCAGACAGTCCACCGTATAAAAGGCAGCCATAATCGAAATGAGAAAAAATGAGAGAGGAAACTACAAGCTGATGGGTTTTTAGGGACAAAGAATCACGGAATCTTAGGAACTGTTTTAAGGTAGCAATTGATTTTCAAATAATTTGGGAAATATGATTATTCCAGGAGAGGTATTGATTACTCCAAGATTTCTAACAGAATAATGGAAATAAATAGGTAGTCCATTGAGGTAGAGTAGGGGGTAATAAGTGATTGAATTGATAAGATGCTTGGAACCAGTGAGAATGGCTTTGGTCTTCTCAACGTTCAACTTTAAATCATTGCTCGCTGCCCAAGTTGTAATACTATCTATATCTCCCTGTAACCATCAAATCGCCTTAAGTATCTCAGTAGGATGAAAGGAAAGGTAGATTTGAAGGTCTTCAGCATAAAGGTGGTATTGTGAATGGTGGATGGAATTAGGAAGGTCTTTAATGTAGATGGAGAAAAGAGTTGGAGAGCGCGAAGATCCCTGCGAGACACCACGAGCTAGTTAGAGGGGGGGGAAGGAGTTTTTTTGGGAATGATGACTGTTTGGGATCTGTGATACAAGAAGGAATGGAATAACTTTAGGAAGCTATTTGATATGGAAGGTGTTTGGAGTTTGGAAAGAATGGAGAATAGAGATGGGTCTGAAATCAGAAACTTTTTAGGGAACCGGAACTTTGCTCAAAGGGCAGACTATAACTTATTTCCAAGCTGGTGGGAAACAGGAATTTTTAAGGGAAAAATTGTAAATATGCAGTAGGATAGGAAAGATGACTGGGAGACATAATTTGATTAATTTCACAGGAATTAGATCTGGACCATAGTCATTCTTTCTGGATTTTAGGACAGAGGAGAGTTGGTCCTCTGATGAAATATTAGTGAAATAGAAATTTGTAGGGTCGGAGGAAGTTTTTGCAAGGTAGTATGACGAGTAGAATGGAGTAGAGATAGGACCGGTAAAGTGGGAATTTAGTTTATTAGGGGAAACAAGATAGGAGGTAAAGATTTTTGAATTTATTTCAAAGAAATTTTTTAGGATTTTTCATTTCGAGTGAAGCGGGGACTTTTAGTATGTTTACCTTCTTACTAGTACAATGTTCTAAAGGTAAAAATTGTGTCCCCGCCATTTCCTCCTATAAACATAAATTGATTGTGCTAAGTATGTTCCTTGTAAGGTATGTACACATGTCAAAAAAGAATTTTTATGATGGTAACTTTCATTGTAAAAGTTTTAAACATAACCTTTGTTATATAGAACTTATAAATAAAAGTCTTTATTAAAAACTTATTGGAAGGAATTTTACTATAGAATTTCTTACTATAAAGTTCTCAAAGGAACTTTCACTCTAAAATTTTGATTAAGAACTTACCTTACATACAAGGGTCATTGTTTAAGTTAGAAAGATTTTATAGTGGAGTGAGGGAAACTTTATTTATGAACATAAATTGTATCAGAATTTAAAATATGAACATGTTTTTTTTACTTTTCTTATAGTCAACACTAATATCTAAACATTTTTTATGTCATGGCATCAGATTTTGGATCCCTTCATCAACGAACTCTGCCGCCTAACTGTTAAAGTAGTTAGTATCAAATAGTAGTTAAAAACTTAATAACAGTGCATTCTTTACAGTCGGCAGGATTATTGATTATTGTGGTGATAAACAAAGTATTATGACCACACATTCAACAGTGGCAATATATGTGATTGTTGTGATATACGTACGTTGATATACATTGTTGATATACGCAGTGTTGTGAGGGACTGGCCTAGAAAGAGGGTTACTTAGATTGGACCTTGTGTGAAAGCCTGAGCAGATGGGATGCACAATCGGTTCTTATTTATGATCCTCATATAATAACAAAAGTTCTCGTATGAAGTGCCTAGCTAATCAACATAGCTAGAAATTAATTTTAGTGCTCTTAAAGTTGAGATACACTCACACTTATATATGGATTTTTATTTTTCATGTCCTTTTTTTTCTTCACAAAATATATCGATGATTAAAAAATAAATATTTTAATTAATTTTCTAGTGTTATATAATTTTTATTTTTTGTTACAGTTATAACAATATTTTTAGCAGTACCTTTAAATAAAGCTGAATTGCCAGACTGGGTTGATTGGCTGCTTGTAGTTTTTGTTGCAGCATATGTATTTATCCATTTAGTACTTTCAGTGAGTAATTATAGAATATATATTATATTAAAGTTTAATTTTCTATTATAATACTAATAAGAAAAGAATTATACAAAAATATTGTAATCAATTTGATATAAACAGCCAAAATATTGCCTAAACAAAATGAGCTCTTGTCTATTTTGTTTAATTTTAAATGTTAAGGTAAGACTCAATCTAAATATTTTTTAACCTAAATGCTACTACTAAAAACAAACAACTACATTTTTAAAATAATTTTGAATAGTAAATAATATGGCTAAGAGATGATAAAATCATGCGTTTTATAAATAATTAAATTCATTGGGTATACTTGAAAAAAATAAAATAAGTATTCAGGTTAGATACCATACATGAGTCTCATTACATCTATTTATTTTACATCTCAAATCATAGAGCACTTAGTAGGGTAGGGATGATGTTCAGTAAAGGTGTCTCTGCCTCCATGACAGAATAGGCCAGACGATGAAAAATGTTCAAATAATGAAATTCTGGGTTTATTATAAAAGTTTTACTTTTATTTATCTGAGTCCTTTACAAAAAGTTATGTTAAACGAGAAAGAAAGAAAAATTGGGCTTAGATTACAAATATAATTTATCTTAAATGAATTGCCTAATTCTTATTTTTCTGAAAACATAATCATTATAAAGTATAAGTTATTAATTATCTACATGGTGGTAGTGTTCTGGATGCTTTTCTGAAAAAAAAAATAAAGAAAAAGTGCTAATTCAGTTAGAAAACAGTCAAATCAAAACAGGAAAATTGTTGTATTATTGCCTGTATTAGTATTTAATACAGGCTTTAAGTATTCTATTTTATCTGTAATTAATTTTAAAATATATTCCAATTTATTTTAAAATTAAATTATATTTTATAAAAATGTTGAAATTATATTTTTTAATATAATTAACATCCTACCTATTTAATAAATAATATAATATAAAATTGTATTTTCCTTCTTGTGAATTAAACCATAGCATTTAGAAAAACATAGTATCTCTGAAAACCTCATCATAATAAAGTATAACTTATTAATTATCTTTATGATTGTAGTGTGCTGGATGCCTCACTGAAAGAAAATTGGGAAAAAGGGTTAATTCATTTCCAATGAAAGACATTACAGCAAGCAGAAATGCTCTAAATGCTGTTGATAGGAAACAGGATGCTCCAGTGAGTGTTTTTATTTGTTACATGAGGTCATTGTAATAGACAAAATATTTTTTCAATTATACACTTTCCAATCACAGAAATTATTTTTACTATGTTCAGTAAACACATAATTCAGGAAATTACATCGATGGTACAAAACAAGTTTTTATTTGCAATTTCAGTCATATTGATAATAAGGATTAATGGAAAAATTAAAAAAATCTGTTGTTTCTCTAAAAATACTAACATGGTTCCAAAACCAAGTGCACCTCATGGCTGAGAAAAAAACCAGCAAACTCCCAACAATTTAGACAAGTTAAACTTATCATAATTTTATAGTTTATCCTTTTTTTTTATATTCATTGTCTACTAAGTGTAAATTTTAAAATATTAATGAATTACTAGTTAATTAAAAAACTATAATTACTGCATAATATTTTATGTAAATAGTGTTCTTGTGTTCTTTTTTTCCTTAGAATTAACTGTCAACAGGATAATATTAACTTCAAGATTAATAGCTAGATATTTGGCAGTATAATTTGTTTCTTATTAAATTTCAGTTAAATTTGCTTTGAATTGGTTGTTGGGAGATGTAAAAAAAAAATATATATATCATAAAAGATTTTGTAAATATTTATTCATTTATTAAACAAAGTTATTATAAAATATGAAAAAAGAACTTACTTATATAATTTATTTTATATAAATAAGTTATATCTATATCTCTGTTGGTAAGTTGAATAGTAGCTGGTTTTCGGTTGTATGGACAGCGCAACCAATGTTATTTTCTGCTTTAGAGGCGTCTGTGTAAATGACCTTATAACCTTTATATCTTTCTAGTAATCGAAAGAAATAAGTTTGTATTTCTAGAGGGCAATCTTTGGAATATCAAGTCATCGATATGTCTACAGACGGTCTGAATTTCTTCCATCAAGGGAGTTTGAGATCAGGTATAGGCCTTATTGTGTTAAGATCCATGTTTGTTTCACACAATGTTTGATAAACCTTTAATTTAAATTTGTTTCCCTCTATGTCTTTGAGCCTGCGCTTTTCGGATTCCTCAACAAACAGTTTTGGAGCTAATGGGTGCTGTGGACATGCTTTCAATTTTGAAATATATTTTATTGATAAGTATTTTCGTCTCATCTTTAGAGAAGGTTCTCCAGATTCGGTATATATACTTTCGATTGGAGAAGTTCGGAAGGCTCTCGTGCAGATTCTAAGAGCCGAATTGTGGATGGAATCTAGCATTTTTAGTGACGTCCTGTGGCCTGTTCCATATATTTGAGCTCCATAGTCAATTTTACTCCTAATTACACTATGGTATACTTTGATTAATGTTAGTCTATCGGCTCCCCTAGTTGAATGAGCAATGCACTTCAGAAGTCCTAACCTGTTTGTGCATTCGTCTCTTAAATACTTGATGTGGTGGACCCATGATAGCTTATTGTCTATTATCATTCCCAAATATTTATATTTGTTGACATAATCGATAGTAGTACCCCCTAATACTATTTGTGGATTAAGGTGACATTTTCGTTGTCTATAAAAATGAATAATTTTGGTTTTGGGAGCTGATAGCTGATAGTTTGAATCCTGCTTCTTTTGACCAATTTTCAATTCTTTCTATCGCGTCTTGCAGCTTCCATTGGAGAAATGCTAGAGATTTGCCCCAAGTTGAAATAACTATGTCATCAGCAAATAGAAAACATTTAATGGTGATCTGGATAGTAGACGTAATTTCATTTATTGCTATAAGAAACAGTGTCGTGCTGAGTGGTGAACTTTGCGGAGTTCCATTTTCCAAGGAATAACTCGAGGACATATTGTTTCCTTTAGTATATACGTCCACATATTCCTTCCTATACTTAACCTTTCCAGGATTGTTAAGACACATCCTCTTGCCATTGTGTCATAAGCCTTCTCTAGGTCTAAAAATATAGCAATTAAATGCTCTTTATGTAAGAAAGTCCTATAATAGAATATAAAAATCAAGAATTACTGCCAATGACCCTCTAGGGTAGAGGTAAATACAAATAAAAAAATATATATATAATTTATATTTTTAATTAACTTTACTACATCTACAAATGTCGTTCTAAAACACCATCTCCGAACATATCTAAAAAGAGACTATATAAGTTCAACAATATTTCAATAATGATATATATTAGGACCTTGGATAAGTTCTTGCTGTTTTTTTGTGAAAATTAAAGCTTTATTTAAAGTAAGTGGTAAAAAACATGTCGCTCAAACTGTTGTCCATCACTAACCACTACTTTCTCCTATCTTTCTTGAAGTATATGAATCCCAGGCTAAAAAAGACTAATCTTTTGAGGCTATCCAAGAATCTACCCAATTTTCGGTATCTTCATAAGAATGGAAGTTCTGCTCAGCCAGGCCATGTGCCATCAAACAAAATATGTGATAATTGGAAGGATCTATTTCCAGTGAATAAGGTGGATGGAGCAGGACTTTCCATTTAATCTTTTCAAGGTTGTTTTTTAACAGTTATGCAACATGTAATCGTGCATTCCCATGTAATAAAATCACATGAGCGTGTTTCTGCTAGTATAGAAGCTTCAAAGCATGGCTGCATTTACCCCATGATTTTTCAAGCTTAGGATTATCGTACTGTATCCATTTTTGAAATGCAAAAATAATGAGTGTGGTACTTATTTAGGCATATTTTTTAGAATAATTTATTTTAAATTTTAAAGTGGTGTATTGAAATATGAAACTAAATGTCAAAAATAAAAATTATGGTTTTTTAAAAGGGTGAATTAATAACAGAGCTATGATTAAATTGTATTTATTTCAATATAATATTTATGAACCGGTTTAACAATACATAAAGATAGTTTAATAATGCAAATTTTAATTTTGTAAATGTTGACAATGTGATGAGTTTTAAAATAAACATAATACACGGTGGGCCACACCCCCTCCCCACTGTGCACCCCCCTTCCACCACATCCCTATAAATTGAATATTTTTGTGTTCCTTGTAACTATTTATTAAAAAAAAAAACAATGTTTCCACAAAAAAAAGGTGAACGCGACTGCCCCAAAATGGCGTCTAAACATGGCGGACTGACGATTTTGACTTTAGTTAGTTGTTGGTCACTGAGAATCAGCATTTGGCTTAATATCATCATAGTTGGTGTTTTATTAAAGCTGGATAGTCAGAGAATAACAAAACATGAACAATTATTTAAAAAATAATTGGCTTAGACAATAAAAAATACCAGTAAAGTCAATTTTTTAACAAAAAAATATTCAAGTTGAAAATCAAAGTTGTTTGTAATTAAACGGTCTACAATAATGCAAAATGTGCTCAAATAAAACATCTGGAGAATATATTTCTCTTTCCAAAACACTGATTACTTTTTAAAATATATGAAGCAGTTTTGAAGAAAATGCATTTAAGCGGGAGAAAAGCGGTACATGCATAGGTGCCTTCAGGCTTCTACCACACCATTCAATATACTTAGTTATAGTGCTATAATAACGTTTTTGGTACATTATATTGATTGTATTAAAGAAAAAATTTTAATGCAATAATTTAACTGTCAAAAAAAAATTAAATATTTTTTCTTTTAATTTATTATTATTTTTTTTTAATTTAACTTCCTTCATTCTATACGGAGGTCATTTAAGAAGTATATTGTAAAAATGATATAATCATAATAATAAAACCCAATTCAAAAATACTTTGCTGAATATTTTGAATTTTTGAATGACCTGTGCGAACAAGAATTTTCCAACCACTATGGATATAAACTAAACCAAGAATGTGTGGTCCTCAGAGGCTTCGCGGACTACCAGACTGTTACAGCACATGACAAGGGTGCTGCAGAGAGGATTATCAATGGTGTTCAGAGGATCCTTGCCGAGATTGGTCTAGCTATAAATCCACAGAAAAACATGAGCCTTCTAATTGATAAAGGAGAGCAGCAAGAAACATAGCTCTCCCCAGAGAATGGAGAAATTATTGAATCAACAAAGGCTGCTGATATTATAAAGTATTTAGGATGCACGTTCTTGATAGAACTAGTACTAAATGAAAAAGTGGTGACCAAATCGAACAAAAACTTGGACAAATTGGTTAGCTCTTGCCTTCTTAAACTGGAGCAGAAGATCAATATTGTCAACCAATACGTGTTCCCGGGACTTACCTACCCTCTTCAGACAGTGCCCCTCACAAAGATAAGTCCTGCGATATTGGAAGGAATATTTGCAAGAGTATCAAGGCCATTATTGGGCTCCCCGCTGATACATCAACGGCGATATTGTTTGCACCGAGGAGGTATCACGGATTGGGATTTATCTGCTGCCAATGGGGAGCTCTTTTACAGCATTGGTCCATTGCTCAGCAGCTGTCTAATGTATCGGATGACCTGTTCCAGTCCACATTTGATAATACTGCATTAATTGCAGAATGTGCAGAAATATTGGGAGTAGATCAGGGCCACCGAAGCGTGAAAGCTCTACGACATTCGCTGAGAGAAAATTCTTTTGAAGAATGGACCAGCTGAAGGTGGCAAGGCATTGGAGTTCGCCATTTTAAAGAAATCCCGAAAGCCAATAGATACATATGTCAGAAAAAAGTACTTTCGGGATCAGAATGGTTCAATGCCTTAAAACTCAGATATCAACTTTAACAATATCAATCTTTGTGTGGAGTAGCAGGAGCCAGTGGAAAGTCGAAGGAAGTTGGGTCCATCTGTCACAAATCCAGCAGAGAATCTGAAACACTAGCCCATGTTCTGGGTAAATGCCCCAACAACTCCCTCCTCATAACACACTGGCACCATAAGGTGAACTTATATAATATATTATTTTCCTTGACTCCTAGAGGCCATTGAAACGAACGCCGGGACAGGTGTCTAATATTTTTCGGTGTTATATCATCAAAATAAATTTGGTTGAAATTGGCGACCCACTGATTGTAAACTCCCCTTGTGAATGTGGCAGGTATCAGTGAGGGTCTGATAAAGGAGATCCAGAGCCTCTAGATGTGTGCAAAGGCAAGAGTGAACATTGGCAACCATTTCCCAACCAACCAATCATTTCCCATCACCAAAGGCTTAAAGCAGGGTTGCTGCTTTTCACCTCTCTTAAGTGTGTTCATTGAATAAGCCCTTAATAAATGGAAGGAAAATTGCAGATGTATGGGCAGCTTAGGCTACTTGTCACTGTTACACCCTGAAAATAGAAAAGATCTTTTTTAATTCTGTTTTGAAATTTCTTACCCATCTCCATATGCAAAACCTTTTCTTTAACTTCTTTTAAGCACCAATTATTCATCCTTCTCCTCAATAATCAATCTTCCGATTATATGTAAGAATTAAATTTTCGTATTTAAATGTTGCCAGTCTCATTTTACTGTTATTTTAGGTTGCTTATCTGTATAATTATGTAAGTATGCTGATATTTATTAATCTATAATTTTATTAGTGTACTTATCCTTATCCTTTTTATTAATTCCATGGTTACACCATTCTGTAATTTTATGGCAGATAGGTGACACTTCTATTGTTCATTGTTATTATTCTTAGGGAACTAAATGTTCGAGAATAAAATTTATTTTTCTTCTTCCTTCCTTGTAGATTGGTGTATTTTTTCGTGCCAACCACTATGCTGGAATTTCTTGTTTCATACTTGAAGTAACAAGGTCTACTAAACCTTTCTATAGTTCATCTGATCCACCTTTAGTAACTTCAATTGGTACATTTCCTAGACCAAGCAATTGTTATTTTTCATTCCCTTTAAAGCCCTTTCAATTTATTCAACCGATACTGGATGTACTGCAGTACAACTTTGATGGTATTTTATTAGCTATTTAACTATGTATTCAGGTCACTTTATACTATCTATTAAAACAGGATACTTTTTAATAAGTTAAACAAATAATCAGCCCATTTTTCTAACTGCTATATAATTTATAAAAAAACAAACAATAATATTACTAGTACCAACAATATATAAATAATAAATATATTCTCCAGTCATAGCATTACGATTAAGAACAGTCAACTTAAGCAGTTGATGCTTAATATTCATTTAAACAGAAATAATAACTTTGCCTTACCTTTGTTTCAGCTCTCTAGTCTTAGGAAGCTGATGCTTTTTGTTCACATTGTTGTAATGACTGCAATAACTGGATCTGTCATCATAGTGATAGCGCTGGCTCCTGTAGAAGTTCAATGGAATAGTTTGAAGAATAAATTTATGCCTACATAAAATAATAAGGTCAACTGTGATATATATATATTTCTGTATATTACTTTATTACCAACCATTTGTTGTGAGTTTAAAGTGAATTGTTATTTGTGATGTTCAAGCATCTTGAAGCTAAAAATGTGACTATTTCAAACAAAAGCAAAACTTGTCTAGCTAATGCTTCGAATTATACCTTATATTTTTGTTAATAATTTTTCTCCAATCTGATTTTTTTTTTGTTTCATTGCTTTTAAAAAAAAAGTAGAACAGTCCTTAACTATTTTTTTTATTTATATTTTTTTCAGAATATTTAATTTTTTTAGTGTATACAAATAAATAAAACTATATAAAATTAAATTCTTTGGTTCAGATAATTGATAGCAAAAAGTCTAAATATTAAGATAATTAATATTTAAATACTGTAAATCATTTTGTGTGTAAACATATTGATATTGCAAAAACTTTATTTAAAAAAATCAATATAAACCTAAAAAATTAATTAGAACTAATTTTACAACTACACAGCTAATTATAAAAAATATACAAAACAATTTTAAATTCTGCTATTCTCATGAAGCAATAATTAAAAAATAAATTAGATTATGTTTTTATTTATTTATGGATTTTAAATATGGTGATAATTTAGAATAAAAAAATATTAAAGTAAAAGATATCAAATATGGGGGTGAATTAAAAAAAAACAAGCTCTGTACACAAAATTTCAATTTTAAGATTTTTATATTTGAATAGGTAAAAAACAATGGCAGTAATCATAAGAGGTACCAAAAAAGTCTTTCAACCTATTGTAATATTTTACACATTATTATCTATTTTTCTGATATTCCAGACCATCTTCTGCTCTAAAATAATTGCATGAGTTAAAAAAAAAATCCTCAGAGGACAATATACCACTAACAACAATCATAGATTTTTTTTCAATTTCATATCATAAAATGATAATTCAACTGTCTTGATGTCAATATTTTTGTACAATATTGATTAAATACTATAATGGCCTGTAAGTCCCAAAACAAAAATATTAATAAGAAAAAATAAACTGTATATTTCTTATTTTATTTCCATTCAGTTTTTCCATGTTCCATGTTTATAGCCAAATGAGAGTTTTTCTTGATTGAATTAAAATTCAAGTAAAACACACTAAATACAAATTTAGTTATTTTATAAGAATTTCAAGGGAGGGAGTTAAACCTGAAAGAAAATTTTACTACACACAACTTAATTATTTAAATTATGTATTTATTCGCACATACATTATGAACATACATAAAAATTAATACAGTAATTTTAATTATTTCTTAATAAATTTAACTCTTTTATATTTTTGTTTATAAGTAGCTTTCATATAACTTTTTTTTATCTACATATTTAAATATAAAAATTAAATATAAATATAAAAACATATTTAAATGAAGAAACTACATTTGATATACAAAAAGATTTTTTTAATTATAATGCTAGAATCATGAAAAAAAAAATAACTACATAAAATGATTGTTATATAGAAGTTTAGTATCATCAGCAGTATAACTGCAAAAGCCTGTAATTACAATTTTATTAGAAAATGCAGTTTTGAGCTTTTCTTTTGCATATTCAGAAATATAAACCAAAAACATTATTTAAAACAATAAATATTTATCTTAAGTATGCAGGAAAAACTGAATGGAAATAAAATAAGAAATATACAGTTTATTTTTTCTTATTAATATTTTTGTTTTGGGACTTACAGGCCATTATAGTATGGCTATCAATATATAACACTTGGTTCTAATGTGTGTATATATACTTTAAGTTCAAAATTTGTTTCTTTTAAGTTGTTTATTTTATTTATTACTTTTTTGTTGGCATACACATTCAATTGGCAATTCACAAGAATATTCCAAACCAAAGAAAAAGTCACCCTGCACTGAATTGAAACTAACATCCTCCTCTAAGTAGCTTTTAAAAGTAGGTTATAAAATAAACCTATCCAATTTATTATTGAAGGAAGCTAGTCGACTGTTCTACATATCATGGGTGATGAATATTCAGGACGCAGTCATTATAAAGGTTTTAGTAGTGCCGACGTTTCAACCCAAACATGTGGGTCCATCATCAGGGCATGGTTCGAGCACTGAATGTTTTCTTATTCTTTAGCTTCCCTCGTTAGAGCCTCTCAGCGTGGAGGAGCATTCAGCCAGGAATTCCTTTCTTCCCTATTTCTAGCTAGGCTGCTCGCCTGTCGGAGGCCCTTCTCCCTCGTCCTACAGAGTCACTCAATGTAGTCAAGATAGGACATCCTAGGACGGCCCCTAGGTCTTCTCACATCTGGGCCATATTCCATGGTCTTAAGAGGATTTTTGTGGTCGTCCATCCTGATGACATGGCCAAACCACTTTAGCTGACGAGTTTCTAGGAGCTCTTTCAGTGGGGCTATCTGCAGTTCCTGATGAATACTTTCATTGCAAACTCGGTCTCTCCTTGTTTTTCCAACCCTCCTTCGCATAAATTTCATTTCGGCAGCGGTGATTCTGCTCTCCTGCCGGTCTGTTAATACCCAACTCTCTGCTCCATACAGAAGTGTGGGTAGATATACTGGCTTGAAGATGTGTAGCTTGACATCTTTGCCCACTTCTCTCTTCCCTACCACAGTGTTACATATCTGGTACATAACTGCTTTTGCCTTGTTAATCCTATTTGATATTTCTGCGTCTACCTTCCCAGATCTGTCTATTACTGTACCCAGGTATGTGAAGTCTGTCAGCACTTCTAATTCTTCTCCATTACAGTATATGTGGATATCTTCCTTTTTTCTTCCAACTTGTTTGATCTTACTTTTGTTGGTATTTATAGGCATCCCTTTTTATTGGAGCTTTCATACCATTCCATAACTGCCAATTGCAACTTTTCCACTGAGTCCTTAATCAATACCACATAGTCGGCGTAGAGGAGAAGCTGTATCACTACAGGATTAAGATTCCTACATCCCAGGAATGTCCTGTCTGTTCTTCTCTTACAAATGGATGCCACTTCATTCATTAACAACAAGAACAACAATGGTCTTAGGCTGTCTCCTTGTTTGACCCCCTTTGCAATAGTGAAACATCTTGATTCTAGCCCATTCAGCCTGACTATTCCTTTGGGCTCTTGATATGTATATTTTATTGCCTCTGTCAGATTTCTCGGAACATTCTTCAATCTGAAAGCTTTTTATATTTCATCTCGTGGAACTGAGTCAAAGGCAGATTTGAGGTCAAGGAAAGCCAGTTACATATTTTTATCCAGGTCCCAGGATTTCTGTAAGATATTTCTAAATGAGAAAATGTGGTCATGGGTTTGGCACCCTTGTCTGAACCCAGCTTGCTCTTCTCGTATTAGGTGCTCAACTAGTGGTCTTAAGGGACCCACCAATATGGATGTATATAGCTTGTACGCAACTGGCGAGAGGCATATGGGTATGTAGTTAGAGCATTCTGCCTGACATCATTTTTTGTGAATTGGTATTATAATATTATATTCTCAAGAGTACTTGATAACCTTCAGTGCTCGAACCACGCCCTGATAATGACCCACATGTTTGGGTTGAAACGTCGGCACTAATAAAAACTTTATAATGACTGCATCCTGAATATTTATCACCTATCCAAATTATTTTATGTAATTTTTCACAAAAAGATAATTATAAATTCTTATTTGTTTATAAATTTTGGTTTCATTTAAATAGTTCCTAACTAATTTTTTCATTTAAAAAAATGAAAACAAACATGACATTTCTTCCTTCCCATGTAGTTCCTCTGTTAGCCAGGTCAATTGAATGTGTTGAGGAGAAGTTTCATCCCATCTTGTAGATTTTTTTCATTTTCCTGTTGTCATATTCTTGTTGACAAGCTGTGGTACTATAGATAAGTTTTTATTCTTTAACTGTGTTAAAATTGTAATTTAAGAATTTTATATTTTCAGACATGCTTTATTGATTGAAAAAAATAACTAAAACTAAATTCACTTTATAAAGATTTTGTTACTGTTCATTAAAACTCATTTTAAAACATCTGCTTTGATTGTATACATATTACTATTTGCTGTATATAATGTGACCTTAAATATGTAAATTTCATAATGTACCATTAATATATAAATATAAAATTTTAATTTTACTAGATATTAGAGTGCTACCAATGGGTAGATCTCTACAATTTTTTTCATTTTATTGTATCTCTCTGTACACATTTAATAGATTTATATTTAATTTATACAGTTGTAAATTTTGTGGATAAATAAAAAAAAAATAAAAAAAATTATTAGAGAATAGTCAAGTTTTAAAGTACTTAAAATGTCATAATAAATTTTAAAAACTGTACCTGTATTTTATATGTATAAATAAATAAATATAAATGTATACATACATACATACATACATACATATATATATATATATATATATATATATATATATATATATATATATATATATATATATATATATATATATAAATTAATAGAAAGTTTTGTAATTAATATTTAACTCCTTTACAAGAAATTACTTTAGTTGTACTTTTGGTTTAAAAAAATATGGTCTGATCTGAAATTAACTATAATATAATCAATATAGCAAGAGTTTAGTATAGATGTGCCTCCCAATAAATTACAGCTCTTGTTTTTATAATAGTTTTCAGTTGGCAGAGAGCTTTTCCAATATATATCAATTCAAATATACATAGAATAATGAGGAGTAAGTATGTTTTAGATGTTAAGAGTGTATGTGCCTTATTAAATCCACACCTTGAACTGATATGATCTAACAGAACATGAAATCTAAATGCTGAAGTTTAACGAATCAGCCACGAGAGAAGTATAACAGGTTATAAAAAAAATCAGTTCTGATTTGAATGAAGAATGAATAAAAAATAATTTTATTCTGGAGTCCTTGAACTGAAGTACCCTCGGAATAATAGCAGAGTTCAAAACATATGTACATCAGTCTGGCATTTAGATATAATACAGATATATACAAAAAAACTAAGGTGTGGCTGCAGCGGGCGTTCAAAATTTAAACAGCCAATTCTGCACAACCTAATCCATAGGCACAGTAGCCTTATTAATTAATTAATTTTAAAATGTTAAAATTATAAAATCCATGAGGATAAATATGTGATAGCTATAGGATAAATATGTGATAAATATGTGATAGCTAGAAATGTATGGGGATTTGAAGGGATACCGGAAGTGAAGAGGATGTAGAGAACTGGGCCCAAGACACTGCCTTGTGGAACACCAGCCTCAACTGGATAGTAAGTGGAGAATTCAGTGTCACAACGGACTTGAAAGGAACGATTTGAGAGGTAGGATTTGAGGACTAGGTATAAGGATTGGGGTAAATAGGTTTTGAGCTTGAAAAGCAAGCCATCGTGCCACACCCGGTCGAAAGCTTGCGCTACGTCCAGAAAGGCACCAGTGCAATAATGCTTGTTTTCAAGTGCAGAGGATATATGGTCCACAATACGAAGGCCTTGTTGGACAGTGGAATGTCTTGAGCGGAATCCAAACTGATGAGAAGGGATGTTGTGGGATTCGATTATTGGTAGGATGCGTTTGAGAAGGATTTTCTCAAAGATTTTTGAGAGGATCGGGAGTAAGCTTATCGGTCTATAGGATGATGTGTTATTAACAGGTTTACCTGGTTTTGGAAACAGGATGATTATGGAGTGTTTCCACACCAAGGAGAGATATCTAGAAAGTAAAACTTATCTGGGTCAAAGGAGGTTCCAGTGATAGAAAAAAAGTGAGAGTAAAATAACCGTCCGGATACAAACTATTTTGTACTTGCCCCACTGTTGCAAGAATAATGAGTCTTTCACACATTTCTTATGTATTTACTCCCTTCAGA